CTACCTTCCTAACCAGCTTCCAACAAGCAAACTCAGTGGGCGAAGCAGATTCGCTTAGTGATTGGGTGATTTCTTTCAACAAAAAAGCTTGTAAAATTGGCCACAATTCACTAAACAACCACACTGCTTAGCGACACAAATTCTAGTCTCAAATGTGGTTTTGGAAGTCAAGGACTATATGTAATGGTCATTTGCGTCTCCTTGTCTACTCCTGCCCCTGAAAACACATCTGCCTATCAGTGACCAAGTAGAAAGAAGAGAAAAGGAAAACACAATATCTTGATCAGTCTTACACTTATTACTATAGTTTAGTCACTGTGAGGATTAGCCTTTATTCTATGGAAGCTACTAAATGGTCAGTGATGGAAGTCAAATAATCATTCATTAACTATATTTCCAACAAAATTTCCAACAAGGCAGCAGCAATTATGGTAACATAATTTAACTATTTTGTGAAGACGGAAAAAAGCAGACTTAACAAACAGGCAATTTCCCCCATGTCTGAGAAAAAAGGGAAGTGAAAAAGAGACCGAAAGCCAGAATTAGTAGTATGAGAGAACCCATGAACAAATTGACAAGAGATACTAAATATGACTCAATGGTACTACGATAAAAGCATTGCCAGTGAAATAAAGCAAAACATGGCAATTCACAATTTGCTTGTACTTATCAGGGTTGATTGGTCTCTGGCATGTTCTGTTTTATTTTTGTTTGCAAATGCCCACCCCACAAAAAGCCTTTGGTGATCCAATCAGGTAGGTTGGGGCATAAAGACCATAAAGGCTAAAGATTTTTCCACCCCATTTTTTAAATAAAGTCTCTGTGAATCAGAAGAAATAAGAAACAAAGGTAGAACAGCAGAGAATAGTCCAGTTTGCAAAGTGACACTGTGGTTAGAACTTCCACCTAACCTCAAAATAACCCTATGTTGGGATGATACAGTAAGCAAAACCACAAAATAGCATGGTGTGTCTTATGAATATGATCTATGTTGGGGTCAAGCCCTGCTTAACCATCATGCTCATTAGATAATTGGGCAACTCATCTTCCTGTCCTAATCTTGCTCAAAGAGAGTGTTTAGGAATAAAATGGAGGGGTGAGTGGCAAAGTATAAACACCATCTTAGCTATTTTGAAAGGAAAACACAATATACAAATGATAGGTTCTACTCTTAATATTTAAAAGGCCAGCAGTATATACTGTATTTAACAACTTAATTATGTTGAATACCGTGATAGCCATACACACCATAGATTGTTAGCTCCCACCTCTATTTCATTTAAGAGTTGCATATTGAGATGTTGTGATTTTAAGAAAAAAATAAACAAGAATGGATTTAGTACTTGAATAAAGAGTAACAGGTTAGACTTGAAAAAAGTGACAATGATGAAACACTTCTATATTGTTGCCAAAGAGAGACGCACATTTGGATAAATTTGACTTTTTCTGCAGTTTTGGCAACAGGGATGTTCTACATTTATCAACCTGGATATCAGATAGATGATTTACCTAGCAAATCAGATTATTGGCACATCTGTTCCATTATTGGAGAACCTCTGGTCCTCCAAAAATTACTGAATGGTAGTATCTTATATCCTCCACTGCTAATCCTAATGGATGAATCTACTAGGCATTCTGTAACATCTGGAAAGCAAAAATTCCCTCTTCAGAATAGTTCTGAATCTTCCATGTGAGCCGAGGTGGTGCAGTGGTTAGGGTGCAGTACTGCAGGCCACTTCAGCTGACTGCGATCTGCAGTTCAAATCTCACCGGCTCAAGGTCGACTCAGCCCTTCCATCCTTCCGAGGTGAGTGAAATGAGGACCCAGACTGTGGGGGCAAT